ACTAATCGTAATCTGTCACGAGACATAGTTTTTCAGAAAAAAAAAAATTTATATTTTTATAAAGGGTGGTTTTTCGATAAGACGCCAGGGGTTTAGGACATTCAATTTTTTACTGTGAAGTGTCATTATATGGTTCTTCTTACATCCACTAATCGTAATCTGTCACGAGACATAGTTTTTTCAAAAAAAAAATAATTCATATTTTTATAAAGGGTGGTTTTTCTAAAAGACGCCAGGGGTGTAGGACATTTACTTTTTTACTGTATAGTGTCATTATATGGTTCTTCTTACATCCACTAATCGTAATCTGTCACGAGACATAGTTTTTCACAAAAAAAAATAATTTATATTTTTATAAAGGGTGGTTTTTCTATTAAGACGCCAGGGGTTTAGGACATTCAGTTTTTTACTGTAAGGTGACCTTATAAGGACCTTCTTACATCCACTAATCGTAATCTGTCACGAGACATAGTTTTTTCAAAAAAAAAATAATTCATATTTTTATAATGGGTGGTTTTTCTATAAGACGCCAGGGGTTTAGGACATTCAGTTTTTTACTGTAAGGTGACCTTATAAGGACCTTCTTACATCCACTAATCGTAATCTGTCACGAGACATAGTTTTAAAAAAAAAAAAAATAATTCATATTTTTATAATGGGTGGTTTTTCTATAAGACGCCAGGGGTTTAGGACATTCAGTTTTTTACTGTAAAGTGTCATTATATGGTTCTTCTTACATCCGCTAATCGTAATCTGTCACGAGACATAGTTTTTTAAAAAAAAAAATAATTCATATTTTTATAAAGGGTGGTTTTTCTATAAGACGCCAGGGGTTTAGGACATTCAGTTTTTTACTGTAAAGTGTCATTATATGGTTCTTCTTACATCCACTAATCGTAATCTGTCACGAGACATAGTTTTTTCAAAAAAAAAATAATTCATATTTTTATAAAGGGTGGTTTTTCTATAAGACGCCAGGGGTTTAGGACATTCAGTTTTTTATTGTAAGGTGACCTTATAAGGACCTTCTCACATCCACTAATCGTAATCTGTCACGAGACATAGTTTTTCAAAAAAAAAAATAATTTATATTTTTATAAAGGGTGGTTTTTCTATAAGACGCCAGGGGTTTAGGACATTCAGTTTTTTACTGTAAGGTGACCTTATAAGGACCTTCTCACATCCACTAATCGTAATCTGTCACGAGACATAGTTTTTCAGAAAAAAAAAATAATTTATATTTTTATAAAAGGTGGTTTTTCTATAAGACGCCAGGGGTTTAGGACATTCAGTTTTTTACTGTAAAGTGTCATTATATGGTTCTTCTTACATCCACTAATCGTAATCTGTCACGAGACATAGTTTTTTCAAAAAAAAAATAATTCATATTTTTATAAAGGGTAATTTTTCTATAAAACGCCAGGGGTTTAGGACATTCAGTTTTTTACTGTAAGGTGACCTTATAAGGACCATCTTACATCCACTAATCGTAATCTGTCACGAGACATAGTTTTTCACAAAAAAAAATAATTTATATTTTTATAAAGGGTGGTTTTTCTATAAGACGCCAGGGGTTTAGGACATTCAGTTTTTTATTGTAAGGTGACCTTATAAGGACCTTCTTACATCCACTAATCGTAATCTGTCACGAGACATAGTTTTTCACACAAAAAAAATAATTTATATTTTTATAAAGGGTGGTTTTTCTATAAGACGCCAGGGGTTTAGGACATTCAGTTTTTTACTGTAAGGTGACCTTATAAGGACCTTCTTACATCCTCTAATCGTAATCTGTCACGAGACATAGTTTTTTAAAAAAAAATAATAATTTATATTTTTATAAAGGGTGGTTTTTCTATAAGACGCCAGGGGTTTAGGACATTCAGTTTTTTACTGTAAGGTGACCTTATAATGACCTTCTTACATCCACTAATCGTAATCTGTCACGAGACATAGTTTTTCAGAAAAAAAAAAATTTATATTTTTATAAAGGGTGGTTTTTCGATAAGACGCCAGGGGTTTAGGACATTCAGTTTTTTACTGTGAAGTGTCATTATATGGTTCTTCTTACATCCACTAATCGTAATCTGTCACGAGACATAGTTTTTTCAAAAAAAAAATAATTCATATTTTTATAAAGGGTGGTTTTTCTATAAGACGCCAGGGGTTTAGGACATTCAGTTTTTTATTGTATGGTGACCTTATAAGGACCTTCTCACATCCACTAATCGTAATCTGTCACGAGACATAGTTTTTCACAAAAAAAAAAAATTTATATTTTTATAAAGGGTGGTTTTTCTATAAGACGCCAGGGGTTTAGGACATTCAGTTTTTTACTGTAAGGTGACCTTATAAGGACCTTCTTACATCCTCTAATCGTAATCTGTCACGAGACATAGTTTAAAAAAAAATAATAATTTATATTTTTATAAAGGGTGGTTTTTCTATAAGACGCCAGGGGTTTAAAATATTTAAACTTTTACTGCATGAGACCTTACGAAATAATTAATATATCTACTCGTCGTAATCTGTCACTCCTCTTGTTTTTTTTAAGTAATCCTCTTTTTATAAAGGGTGTTTTTTTGAGAAGACGCCAGTGGTTTTAGACATATAATTTTGTGACAAACTCAGATCTGAAAGGGTACCTTTTTTTCCATTATTCGCTGTCATACGGCAAATTTTGAAATATACCTCTTTCTAATAGAAACTTTACAAACCACACCGTTTAATCAAAAATCGAATCATAAACATTACTTTCCTATAAATTTAGAAACATTATAAATAAATGCAATAATTAATTTTAGTTGTGTGAACTTGGTTAGGAGGAGGGGGTAGAGCGCTGAGTTTGGGCGCCAGCGCCGGGCGCTAACTTCACACAAGTATGTATGCATGCGGATTAATCCCCCCTTAAAAGCTTTTATTTAACTTGCAATGTTTGTATGTTGTTTGTTTAGGCCAAACCTTGCAACTGAATTTTAAATCAGTTATCCCCAACCGATTAAGCTGAAATTTTGCATTGGTACACGGTACACGTTTAGTTTTGATGGCAGTGCATGGTTGCTAAGTGTCGTCGTTATAAATCCAATATGCCGGTATCTCAAAGATTGCGGATTAGTTATTTCTTATGCTTTCCCATAATATGTGTATCAAAAGGATTTGCTGAGAATAATACGAAAAAAAAAATGAAATCACTAAATTCAATATGGCGACTCCCTAAGATGGCGGACACAATTTTCTTTATTAAATAATTAATTTGAGATTGACAATCCTCATTCTACCTCTTTGCATACTATTTTACATCTCTTTCTCTATTCATTGTAATCTGTCTTAATAGTTAATTGGACTAATTTTGTTTTTATTAGGTTAACGATTTGAAAATTTTTATAAATGACCCTCATTCAAAATTAACAATTTATGAATACATGAAATATTAATAATACCTACTAATATTTAATTGTGTAAGAAGAAAAATTATTATGAACTGCACCTCATTAAGATATCAATAACCACCTAAATTTAATTATTTTATTTTTTTAGAAAGCAATAAAAAACGGTTTTTAAGAGTTTAAACACACTATCTTGTAAATAAAGCTAATCCGGATATACGTTATTTGTATGAACATTTTTTCGTATTTTGACCCAAGGAATCCGACCTTCAATTATCGAACAATAACAATTAAGGCAAGTATTTTTAAGATTTAAATATAAAAAAAATCACCTTCAATGTTTCTCAATATTGGATCTCGATGTCCTCGTTCAAAATTGTAATTGGTACTAAAATTGCATTCTATAGCTTGTTTTCGAAATATTGAATATTTAATCTGTAAAACATCAATTCTTTGTAATGAAAATTAAACTAAATATTTTTACAGTCTGTATTCTACCGGCGCGGGCGTTTTATTATTTGTAGCCAGATTAAAAAAAATAATAATTACATGGTGTTCTCAGTTTAGCTTTAAAAATGACAAAATCAACAAATTCTAAACAGCAAAAAATAGAAACTAAAAAATCTTACATTTTCAGAGAATTTTGTTTTTAATTCATTGAAAAAAAAAAAAATAGGCAACTGATATATAATTTGAACCGTAGATTTCAAAAAAACAAAATATACATGGCGATCCATTAAAAAACGAACCTTAATGGCATTTCCGGTAAAACCGGAAGGCTACCATTTTGTGTAAGTGTAATTTTCAATTCGAAATTATGTCTAGCAGGTTTGTCCCAAATTTGATCCGAATCGCTTCATATCAAAAAATCTGATGTGTCCAAAACATGACTTTTCTATTTAGTTATTACAGGCCTTTTCCGGTTATTTTGTAAATGTTTAGAGGATAAACTAAATATATACATTTTACACATCTAAATCGAAACATTTTTTTATATACATATATTCATTGCAAACAAAAATACTGAAAAATTAAAATTTTACACTTTTCCTCCAATTTTTTAGTTAAATAATTTTCTTAAAAATCAGAATTTTGCACATTTTGCCAAATTTCACGATTACGGACCATTTTAGGAAAATTTTGTATGGAACAAAAATTAAAGAGAATAAGTAACTTTTATTTAAAGATTTTTCATGTACAAACGTGAATAACATATATATTTCATAAAATATAAAACTGATCCCCTATAAAGTACCTTCCCAGATATTCCGACTTAGCCCAAAATCTAATCAGTTCACCGCAAGCCGGAATAAAGTTTAAGTTTGAAATTTGGTGTTTTTCTTTATATCCGTCCATGAGTTATCGTGGCTATAGACACACACACACACACACACACACACACAGACATCATCGCGAAAATAATCAAAACGGCTTCAGGGAACCCCAAAACGTAAAAATCCATCGAAAACTCGAGGTCGAAAAAAATCATGATTCCTGTATATTAAGGTGGCCCTGGCCTCACTGTCACTTGGTATATGACCTGTTCCTGATAAGCCCCCTTTCGCGAAGGGATAAATATATCAATATTAAGTAATTAAAATATTTTATTCGTACCTAAATTTATTTGACAGCGACTTAATTTGGCACAAACACAAAAAACTACTAAAAAAAACTTAAACATTATCATAACACACAGACACACTTATGTAAATTAAAAAAAAAAACGATGCAGTATTTTCTCATGGCCTAACAATAATGTAATAGATTATTACAGAATGCCATGGATATGAAAGTTAAATAATACATGCTTACTTAAGATTCCCCACTTATAGAGGAATACTCAAGAGACGCAAAAAAATTCAATGACCATGGAGAAAGTAAATGCTTGGATATACTTCACTTAAGAAAATATCGACCGCATTTTAATAAGAAGGTATATTATACATATTTTACTTAAAATAATTGTTTATATACTGGGTGATTTATTAAGAAAGGGCAATCTCTGGACTACATACAGTAAACACAAAAATATGAAGATTTGGTCCAAAATGCCTTATAAAAATGTTGCTGGGTATTCAAAGGGGAACATTTTATTTTAAAATTTTTCAATAACTTTATAAGTTTTAATAGCATGAACATAAAATTTTGTAATTTTAGGTTTCCTGGCATGAGAAATGCGAATTTGTAACTTATTTTGTAACTGCGCATAGAGGGTGCTAGTGGCACCTTGTTCAGTAAATTATATTTATCTTCTTTGTCCATTGAATAATGATTAAAATAAGTTAAAAATCTGAAAGCCAGTTCAATTCTACATAAATAATGTATTTCAAATATTTGAGAAAAAGTGTAAATTTCGAATTTTGAAGACAACTCAAAAACGGATTAAGAGAAAAACACCAAATTTTGAATTTAAGCTTTATTTCAATCTTTAGTGAACTGATTAAATTTTGGGCATAGTCAGAACATTTAGGAGGTACTTTATAGAAAGAAGGTCGTTTTTTTACTTTATGGAATATATCTCTTATTTACGCAAGAAGAAGAAAATTCTTCAAATAAATATTGCAAAAGTGCAATTATTTTTTTTGTAAAAATACAATTGTCAAATCAAAGCAAATATTTATTTACGGGCCAGAGCCTTTTAAAACAATACAATTACAGAGAATACATATCACATTCATTAAATAGTAATAAAATCCTAAAATATAAATTAATTTAAAATATATACATATTAAAAAACAATTAATTACAAATTTAACATCTATTCCTCACAAATACATAAATGGTTAGAAAATTCTGATGGAGAAATAATCCATTCTACATTTAGTCTTTTAGCAGATCTTGTCAAAAAAGTTACTCTTCATTAAAAACTCGAGCATGTTCTAAAACCTTTTTTAATACCTATTGGTTTTTTGAAACAAATTTATTCTTGATAAAAAGTTCTGCATGGTTTAAAACTTAAAATGCAATTATAAGATATCAATTTTTTTAAGCCGTATAGGTTTGTCAAAAAATATGGATTTGACTCAAGAGTAAAGTACCTTTATTCTTTATACGACTGATAAAATTTAATATCTGATGGTTGTGTTTTAAGTGTTGGATCATGCAGAACTTTTTATCAATAATAAATTTTTTCACAAAACCAATAATAAAAAAGTTTTCCATATGGTTCCAACTTAAGTAGTATATTTTAATTTTCAATTTGCAGAAATATTTTTACTTTCCTATTACAGATATAAGGAAAGTATAGGAATCATGATTTTTTTCGACCTCCAGTTTTCGACGGATTTTTACGTTTTGGGGTCCCCTGAATCCGTTTTGACTATTTTCAGGATGATGTCTCTGTGTGTGTGTGTGTGTGTGTGTGTGTGTGTGTGTGTGTGTGTGTGTGTGTGTGTATGTCTGTATCCACCATAACTCATGAATCGATACAAAGAAAAACACCAAATTTTAAATTTAGGCTTTATTCCGGCGTCCAATGAACTGATTAGATTTTGGGCAGAGTCGGAACATCTGGGGGGGGGGGTACTTTATTGGTGGTAATTTTTATATTTTATGGAATATATCTGTTATTTACGTTTGAAGAAGAAATTCTTCAAACAAAAGTTACAATATTTTTATCAATATTTTTTGTTTTATACCAAATTGTCGTAAAATAGTCCGTATTCGAGAAATTTAACAAAATGTAAAAAAATAATTTTTTATAAAAATAATATAAGTTGTTTGTAATATAATTCTGTATAATTTTTATCCCATACATAATTTCTCTAAAATGGACCGTATTCGAGATATTTAAGAAAATGTGTAAATTTCGAATTTTGAAGAAAACTCAAAAACAGATAAAGGAAAAAACATTAAATTTTAAACTTAAGTTTTACTTCGGCATAACGTGAAATGATTTGATTTTGAACAAAGTCGGAACATCTGGGGGGTACTTTATGGGAGGCCGTTTTTATATTTTATGGAATATATCTGTTATTTATGTTTTGGGAAGAAAATTGTTTGAATAAAAATTACTTCTAATATTATTATCTATAATTTTTGTTATATGCTAAATTTTCCTGAAATGGTCCGTATTCGAGAAATTGGACAGAATGTGCAAAATTCGAATTTTTAAGAAAATTGTTAAACTAAAAGTTGTTTTCGATATCGATTTCTATAATTTTTGTTTTTTACATGATTTTTCTAAAATGGACCTTAAGAGAAAAATTGGAGGAATAGTGCTAAATTTAAATTTTTCAGTATTTTCGTTTTCAATGAATATCTATAGAAAAATGTTTCGAGTTATATGTATGTGGAAAATGTATATATTTAGTTTATTCTCTAAACATTTATAGAGGTGCTGCAATAGGTTGTACAAAATAACCGGAAGAAGCCTATAATAATTAGATAGGAAAGTCATGTGTTGGATACATCAGATTTTTTAAATTTATTTAGGACTATGTTTTATAGGGTCAATCATCTATCGATACGACGTGTCTAGCAAATAATATGTAAAATTAATCAACAAATTAAAAAATTGTACATTTTTATTTAATTTAGTTTTAATTTAGTCTTGTGTTTAAATTTTCCAGAATTTTATTTACACAATAATTTTTAATCATTAAAGCTTGCTTGCGCACTAAAAGTATTATTTTTATCAACAATAAACTTTTAGTAGCGACAGAAAGAGACAGATCACGTGAGAGATATCAAGTAGCTCATAAAAACTTTCCTTCCTCTATGGTTCAAAAGGTTTCGAATAAAGAAGAATGCTGATTGAACTTAGACACACTGAAAGATGGTAATTATGCAAATAGACGAGAAGAATTCCAGTACTCTGGTGTTTTTTGTTAATGGAAAAAAGGTTAGTACGTTAATAGTTTTAGCTTTAATACACTTTAATTAAGAATCTGATGTGTCCAACACATGACTTTCCTATCTAGTTATTACAGGCTTTTTCCGGTTATTTTGTACAACCTATTGCAGCATCTCTATAAATGTTTAGAGGATAAACTAAATATATACATTGTCCACATACATCTACCGCGAAACATTTTTCTATAGATATTCATTGAAAATGAAAATACTGAAAAATTTAAATTTAGCACTTTTCCTACAATTTTCCCATTACGGTCCATTTTAAAAAAATCATGTATGAACAAATATTATAGAGATCGATATCGCAAACAACTTTTATTTCAACAATTTTCATAAAAATCAGAATTTTGCACATTTTGTCAAATTTTTCGAATACGGACCATTTCAGGAAATTTTTACATAAAGCAAAAATTATAGATAATAATATTAGAAGTAACTTTTATTTGAACAATTTTTTTCTCCAAACATAAATAACAGATATATTCCATAAAATATAAAAACGGCCTCCCATAAAGTACCCCCCAGATGTTCCGACTTTGTCCAAAATCTAATCATTTCACGTCAGGCCGAAATAAACTTAAGTTTAAAATTTAATGTTTTTTTCTTTATCCGTTTTTGAGTTTTCTTCAAATTTCGAAATTTACACATTTTCTCAAATATCTCGAATACGGTCTATTTTAGAGAAATTATCTATAGGATAAAAATTATAGAGAATTATATTACAAACAACTTTTGTTTGAACAATTTTTATAAAAAAAAATATTTTTTTACATTTTGTCAAATTTCGCGAATACGGACCATTTTAGGAAAATTTTGTATATAACAAAAATTATAGATAATAAAATAAGAAGTAACTTTCATTTGAAGAATTTTCTTCCCCAAACGTAAATAACAGATATATTCCATAAAATATAAAAATGACCACCTATAAAGTACCCCCCCCAGATGTTCCGACTCTGCCCAAAATCTAATCAGCTCATTAGACGCTGGAACAAAGCTTAAGTTTGAAATTTGGTGTTTTTCCGTGTATCGGTTCATGAGTTATGCGAAGACATCATCGCGAAAATAGTCAAAACGGATTCAGGGGACCTCAAAACATAAAAATCCGTCGAAAACTCGAGGTCGAAAAAAATCATGATTCCTATACTTTCCTTATATCTGTATACAGATAGGAAAGTAAAAAAAGATTCAATGGAAAAGTTGTTTATTATTTTGTTGACAGTTTTTACTTTCCTATCTGTATTCAGATAAGGAAAGTATAGGAATCATGATTTTTTTCGACCTCGAATTTTCGACAAATTTTTACGTTTTGGGGTCCCCTGTATCCGTTTTGACTATTTTCGCGATGATGTCTGTCTGTGTGTGTGTCTGTATCCACCATAGCTCATGAACGGATACACAGAAAAACACCAAATTTTAAACTTAAGCTTTATTCCATCGTCCAATGAAATGATTAATTTTTGGGCAGAGTCTGAACATCTGGGGGGTACTTTATAGGTGGTCATTTTTATATTTTATGGAATATATCTGTTATTTACGTTTGGAGAAGAAAATTCTTCAAATAAAAGTTACTAACAATATTTTTATCAATATTTTTTGTTTTATACCAAATTGTAAAATAGTCCCGTATTCTAGAAATTTGACAAAATGAAAAAAAATTTTTTATAAAAATTGTTCAAATAAAAGTTGTTTGTAATATAATTCTCTATAATTTTTATTCTATACATAATTTCTCTAAAGTAGACCGTATTTGAGATATTTGAGAAAATGTGTAAATTTCGAATTTTGAAAAAACTCAAAAACGGATAAAGAAAAAAACAAGTTCTATTT